GTAGTAGTTTGAGAAAATATTTGGTTACTCTACGAAGAACGTATGGTCGGAGGAGCCGCCTCCGGACCAACGCCTCCCCTCTCACGGATATAACCGATACCGCCGTCGACTGTACCACCTACGCAACCAATCCCGAGCGCGAATATTCCAAGCCGAAATCCGGGCGCATCATAACCTACTACGGTCGTATCTCACCTTGCACAGTCCAGCGAAAGGGCTGCTATGGATCCTCGACCGCATCTGGCATTATGCCGCTAACCCACAAATCTTCGGGGGATTCTACTACGACATAAACAGACCCTGGGTTCAGCGGCTGCCAAACCACTCGTTCCGCCCACGTCTGACCGCCCAAAGCAATGCACAAATGCAAAACGACGGTCTTCGCGCCAACCCTGTATACCGGGTGCCGATGACACAGGCGCCACCCTCACTGGCTACTTTGAGGACCTATTCAACTCTACAAACCCGTACGTGGTTCCACCGGATACCGAACCCTCGCCCGATGTATCTTCCGCATACGCCCCGACGATGTAATGGAGGCTATACTACGCTATCCCAATAAGGGGCCTGGCCCCGACGGGATCCACATCCTCCTCCTGAAGGCCGCAATGGAGCGCTCCACCAAGTGCAGGACACTAGGACGCCCCGACGCCAATAGCCCACTGATTAGACTCCTTGCCGAAGCATTCACTGAGCTACTGAAGGCGGTACCTTCCCTGCAGCCCTGAGCTGCAGCCTCTTGATAGCGCACCCAAAAAACGCCGATGCAGATATCACCTCCTCCGCCGACTTCCGCCCTATCACGCTTACGCAATAGTCAGGCGCATCTTTGAGAAGTGCTTCCTTAAGCTGATTACGAGCCACTCCGGCTCTGTTACAACCCTTGCTACCCAAGCTGGCTTCAAATCACGATACTCCTGTCATACCCAAGCACTCGCCGCCATGGAATCTGAGACACAGTCGGAAGAGGAGTGGAACGACGTCTGTCTGGACATTACCAAGGCATACGACAATGTTGCTACCACGCCTATGGGTACTCCTGTGCCACGCTGGAATGCCCGAAAACTGGATCAACTGCCTCGCGCGCTATTTGAGAGGGTCCCTACCGGAGTGACATACCGCGATACGCTCTTGCCTCTATTCCATAGAACGAATGGAATCCTACAAGGCTCAATCGTCGGCCCCCAGCTCTTTATTATCTACATGGACTCCTTAGCTGTCACGCTAGCACAATTCCGGCCAGCGCTCCTCCGCTCTTATTTATTTGTCGACGACACACGGATCCAAGCCCGCCAATCGGTTCCGCTCCAGCCCTTCTTAGACGACATTGATGCGTGGGGACGCAAACTTGGCCTCGAACAGAGTGGGGAGTCCTTTTATTTTGGTTTAAAAAAACCCCCCATTGTTTGTGACCAAAGGTCGAATAGCCCTATAAAAAAATGCCAAAACGGAAAATGCGTTTTTTTTTTTTGTCAACTCCATAAATGCCTTAAAGAATTTTTTTTTGTTGTTGACTTTAGTACCTACGGGATTTGTCTGCCGTGAAGCCAAAAATTATTGTAAGCATGGTTGCGAGCAAACATGTTATTGAGGCCACGTACAGCATAATCGGCTTGAATAAACCTCGTTCATGGGAGTCCCATCGCTTGTTTTCTTATCGGGTGCCTTGTAGATCTGACGTAAGTTTGCAGCCCACCCCAACAAACGAAACACTGTCAACACAATCTTCGGGAAAAAAAACATGATACGCGCTGTAATCGGCAGTAATGGCATTGAAATAATAATATTAGGCATTTCGGCATACATTGTGTTCTTGCCGTACACCGAAAAAGTGGTGGCGGCTATGGCCACCGCTTGCGTGGCTACAATAATTGGCCAGTTGTATCCCACTTTTTCCCATTACCTTTTATCTATATAAAAAATGTACTTTGTTTTTGTGTGAACAAATCCCACATTTGCGCGCGAAACTCGATTCGGAGAAAATATAACATGCAAGATGCGCGCGAAATTTCTTTCGGCCACACCAAGCCCGTGGTCAATTGTGACTAGGGGCGAGGTTGAATATTTCGAAAGTAATTACTCACACGTATTCACACCTTATTTCCAATTTCCACTAAACTCAATCCAACGGATCGGATGTACAAAAGACGCTGGGATTTGGTGTATGTACTGTCCTACACATGAAGTAAAGACATCCGTGACCATTTGCAATTTGTTTGTCACCCGTTTATTAATTGTGAGGTTGAGTATTTCGAAAGTAAATACTCACACGTACACACACCTTATTTCTAATTTCCATCAAACTGAATCCAACGGATCGGATGTACGAAAGACGCTGGGATTTGGTGTAAATATGTCTGTTGTGGCATCTAGGGACCAGATTATCAAAAGATCAATCCAAATCCTAAAACCCAGAATAATCAAATATTAATAGAGTCATCAGAAATATTAGCGGTAGAACCGGTAAGCTATACCGGTACTCCGCGTGCGAGAGAAACACTTCAGTAAACCCTGAGTCTAGTGAAAACACAAATAAAGACTCAGTTCGGTTCTCTCAGACTAGAGACTTTTCCTAGCTGAGATAACCGTACTTGAGAAGAGGTATATTTTATCCTATTGTCTAGTACCCTTCAGCTACTCTCCATACTCTACACTGTCCCACATATGAAGTAAAGACATCCGTTATCATTTGCAATTTGTTTGTCATCCGTTTATTAATTGTGAGGTTAAGTATTTCGAAAGTAAATACTAACACGTACACACACCTTATTTCCAATTTCCACTAAGCTCAACCCAACGGATCGGATGTAAGAAAAAAATAGGGGGTTTTCGTCTGGAGGGTGATACAGCACCAGCCTCTGTCCGACAGGGTATTCTGTAGTCCCGACTTTTTAATAAACCGGCCGTGTTTAACAATATGTTTGGTTCCCGCGCAATTTCCCAAAAACTGAAACCGGCTCGTGTGCCCATCATACCACACCCCAGTCCGTGGCCAGCTCCCACTATTCCTATTACCACCACTGGGGTCTATCCGTTTCCAGAGTCTCTGGAGCTCAGAAAAAGATCCAAGAGGCCAAACGATGTGACGACCGAGCACGGCAAATGCTACAGTTTTCGCAATGAATTACAATGATCGATGTGACCTCTGATAGTCAAACTCAATCACGTCGACAAATGACAACGGATTTGAACAATTCATGTGTGGGACAGTACATACATCAGATCCCAATGTCTTTCGTACATCCGATCCGTTGGATTGGGCTTAGTGGAAATTGTAAATAAGGTGTGTGTACGTGTTAGTATTTACTTTCAGAATACTCAACCTCAAAATAAATAAACGGGTGACAAACAATATGCAAATGGTAATGGATGTCTTTACTTCATGTGTGGGACAGTACATACACCAAATCCCAGCGGCTTTCCTACATCCGATCCGTTGGATTGAGCTTAGTGAAAATTGGAATTAAGGTGTTTGTACGTGTGAGTTGTAGAAATAACGGGTTCCTAACAGTAGATGCACATGTTAACGTATTTTATAAACGTATAAAAGTATCATACGTTTAACGAATTGGACATGAACAAGAACTGCGCAATTTAAGATTTTGAACATGTGACATTACACATTCGAGTATGGGACTCTACTGTGGGCAATTATGTGGTTTTCCAAATATACATTGGGTTTTCCACTAAAATTAAAATTGTACAAAATAAAATGATACAAATCTGACACCTGAAAATGACACTTTGGGAATCTCTAAATATTGGGAGTACCGAAATGACTGTTGGTACAAACCTACGGTGTAATTCTAAAATGATCTCAGAGCAAGATAATCCACTGAGATTAGGACAGGATCAGAGTTGTTATAATTTAGGACAAGATGGTTTTGATTCCTCTTAGCCAGTCTACTAGATGTGCCCGGCTATGCCTTAAATGGGGTGGAGAGCTAGGTACCAAGTCATGGGATCTAGGTGCAGATGTATACTGCACCAGCTTGGTGTTTTGATTTTATTTTTTGTTTCTTAAGTTAGACTTAGAGGTATTTTATTGGTTAGTTTGATTGGAAGATTGTTTCGAGACGAGAAATATATTATTATGCGTCCAATGGAATGATATCTAGTCTTAGCAACTAAAACCTAAATAAATCTAGACCGAAGTAGTGAGTGATTAGAGCGGAGCATACAGACATCAGTCTCAATCTAAAATTCCCTAATCTTTTAGCTCACTACCAAGGGCTGAAACTAAACCTATTTCAACATTTTGCATTTAACGTATTAACGTATTGTCTTATTACCGTAAACGTTTGGTATCATATAGTCAGCCTATAGAGGAGACCGACTTTTACAGAGTATTTACTTTCGAAATGCTTAACCTTACGATCAATAAACGGGTGACGAACAAAATATAAGTGGTAGCAGATGTCTTTACTGCATGTGTAGGACAGTACATACATCAAATCCCAGCGTCTTTCGTACATCCGATCCGTTGGATTGAGCTTTGTGAAATTGGAAATAAGGTGTGTGTACGTGCTATGATTGTAACGCGTATGTACATGTTCACATTGCTCGACTACCGTACCGACGACTGTCTCTGCCCTGTCTGCCCCGGTGGCCACATGTAAATTCACCACCAGTAACAAATGATCCGACACATCCTGGTAAGCCCGAAACTGCCGCTCATTGGCCATGACCTCCTCCAACAATTACAGGAGCGCTACAACTTCCACGGTATCTGGACCCTCCACGAACTCCTTAGATCTTTTCTCCAGCATGTAGAACAACCACCGTACCCTCACCCGTCTCTGACACATCAACAGATGTTCCCCATACCCCGGATAATCACACTGTTGAAGTACTACTTCCAAATCTCGGTCCCAACCAAGTCATCGCGCTTATTGGTTCCGCCAATGATACTTCCAATCCAGCCCAGCCAGCATATACCGAATGTATCGGTGGTCTAGCGCGGCATTGGCTTACCTCCAACCTCGCTCCACGACCGAATTATGACGGCTAACCTGGTCCTACTCGGTATTTCGTACTCTGCACTAACCCATTCCACGGCACTACACGGTGCAGACCCGATCCGTACCACAGAGGTGGGTACGCTACTTGGTAGGTCAGCAAGCGAATACATGGCACACTTGATGGTGTCAGTTTTTTGTCAACGCCGGCCTGAATTGACCCAGCGCATATCCTCCATCGTCGACTCACTTGACCCAAGCTTCCAACGGGAATTTACTGACCACTTCTTCCCATCGATCTTTCCCGAACCACTACAACGGCTATGAGAGCTATACTATATGTACATACATTGAAGCTTATCTCTTTCGAAATAACTAATACTATCCCTATGCCCTATGGGTTTGATGTTATACATATTCAAGGTTTTGTTGCCTTTCAAGCTGTTGTATGAGGACATGCTTGGTCCTTAAAAGTTTTTTATTTAACACCGGGTTTAGAAAATAGCGGGTCATTTACCGGCCAAATGGTAAACGTGTAGAATGTGAGCATATCGACGTACGGACATGGGAAGAAGCTGTATACCCAGTAACAGTAAAGAGAAATTGGCCTATCTATTCTATATGTCCACCATAAAACTATCTACTTCAGGTAGATATTCTGGATCATTGGTCGACAGGTACCAATCACCAACCTCGTGTCCAATTAGAAATATTTTTGTGGATTGAAAATTCTGAAAAGTGACGACAACAAATATTTTGATTTCTGATCCCAGATGGGTTGCATGTGAACACACACAAATTTGTGATTTTCACACACAAATACATATATCAAGTCGTGTGTTTGGTGGTATGATACTGGTGTCATAATGGTAGTAGTATGTCTGTGTAGCTAGGATCAAGCAGTGGCGAAATTAAGATAACACACTTGTCGTGGCTAAAATCCATTGTGTAAAATGGTGTGCGCCAAGTGTAATGGATACTGTACACCGAATGGTGGCCTACCGACATGCACAAACTGCAGATGTTGCAAACGAAGCTGTCGCGGTGAGGACGTACACATATATCAGCCCCGTACGCGTGTATCAAGTCGTAGCATTAGATTTAGAGGTGACTTAAACGAAAGCAATTTTCTAGATCAGCTTGAAGAAACAGTTGAGCCAGATTTGAGAAACACTTTGCTGCTGTGTTTGACGTTGATGCGGCAAGCCGTGCAAATAATAAGAAATCCTTAAAAAAATTGTCATCAGACCAGCAGTTGCGATACTGCAAGATATTGCGTCGCTGTTCAGTTTTGATTGCACAGCATCTTCTTCCAAACGACTATAAGAATTTTTTTATCAGAGGCCTTTGGAAATAAACGCTCACAGTATGTAAACAAGGCAACAGAGTTGCACACATCACTTGCAAATGTTTCTCGTGAAGCTCAGCGTGTCGGGTACGCACCGCTCTCGCAATTGAGTAGGCCACAACGAACAGCAGATAAGAGGAGAAAGTTGGCAGCTGCACTACCCCATCGTGAACACATCTACGAAGTATAGGAGAAGAAAAGTCGCTGCTCTACCAAATAGAATCGGTGAGAGTAGTGATGACGAGGAAAATGGTTCGTCAGACAGTGGTACAGATAGACAGTCTGAAAATGAGGAAGAGGGTTCGCAAGCGGAGGAGGAAGTTTTAGATGGCGAAAGCGCATGTAGTGAGGAGGACGAAATGGCTAGAAATGTGGTCAGAATACAAGACTTAGGTTTTAGTTGTTTATTTTAGTTATTATAGTTTTTACAGTTTATCAGAATAATCTGATAAACTTGGTTTTTGCTGTCTATTACAGTACATGACTTATGGCTCACTTTTAGAGTCACTAATGTTACAATTACTAAAGACATTACGAACAAAAAATGTCGTATCAAAATGACGAGATCTTCCAAAATTTGCCTAACGGAGAAGGAGATATTGGGTTAGACGAATCTATGGTAATGAGTATAGCCTTTGGACGGAAGAATGTGTTCAACGGGGTTAAAATTGTATCCCTCCCGAAGGTCATAAGACATCTGCCGATGGCTCAAATTTATGATGTGTACGAGAAAGATTGTAAACATCGTTTGCGTGCATCCCTATCCAAATCAAATTTCAAGAGTATTGGCGATTGAGCTTACGGGACGAGAGAACAAGAACCTAAATGGGGTTGACCATGTTTTCCATAGATATCTCTATGACAATGAGCAAAAATTAGAAGCTACGATAACTGGGATACAATTAGAGGTTTTTCAAGGCGATCATACGTACGTAAAGATTTTAAGCTTCTACAAATTGGTTCAGAAAAGTTGAATGTACAGAATTTTAACACTAATAAGAATAAGAGTATTGCAGAAGATGCTGTTTCATATCTGTTAGACGAATCTATGGTAATGAGTATAGCCTTTGGACGGAAGAATGTGTTCAACGGGGATAAAATTGTATCCCTCCCGAAGGTCATAAGACATCTGCCGATGGCTCAAATTTATGATACGAGAAAGATTGTAAACATCGTTTGCGTGCATCCCTATCCAAATCAAATTTCAAGAGTATTGGCGATTGAGCTTACGGGACGAGAGAACAAGAACCTAAATGGGGTTGACCATGTTTTCCATAGATACCTCTATGACAATGTGTAAAAATTAGAAGCTACGATAACTGGGATACAATTAGAGCTTGGTTTCGCTCTTCAGCATTCGAAGGAACACATTGAAAGCCAAACGAAGAAGTTTCTAGGCAAACTTGATTCAAAATTCGAATTTTGTCGAGGCGTACAGCGGCAACATTTCAAAATCAAGGAATGCGATAGCGTTGCTGGTCACCGCCGACGTTATACTCTCCTCAAGAATGGCTACAACAATGCACATGATAAAATCTATGAGGAATGTCCAGGCTATTTTATGCTGCTGGAAGAGCTAGTTGAAATAGTTGCTAAATTAAAACAGTACGATGAAAAGTCTCACGACATATATCAGGACGATATATATTATTGCTACCTCGGGTTCCGTTCATTTCTGAGTCACTTGATACGCGCAGAGCATATGGAATGTAGTTTTGAGGAGATTTGCACTGGTCTAACTCAATACGAGGGGAATTATGGCTATTATGGTGTTCTCCACGGCTTCCATCCTCAATGCAACGACCCTACTGTTGGCGGCGGCCCAGACATGGCTGATGTTGCCAAATGTCACCGCATCCTCTCGACTCTATTGCTGAATCACTCATCAATTCTGTCTACAAACAACACTTGTCGAAACCCCCTCATACATTCTTTCAACACATCTATGCCACTACCAACACCGGTAGTTATGGCCGTTTCTGGACTGCGATGAAAGCCCTCATCAGCTATACTGCCACCGGTTACCTCGGCACTACCCTCCAGACTCTTGAGGAGACTTGCCAACATTTTCTCGATGTCGGCGAGGTAATTCCTGACAAATATCTTACTTGTGTTTTACTTTACAGTCTCGGTGACGAATACCACCTCTTACGTTCAGAACTTGTTGACCGTGACTTAGATACTTTGTCTATCGATGACGTGTACACGAAAGTCCTAAAATTTGCCGGTGATCATCAACTCGAGACCCCTTCCTCTATCTGCAGCCTCTCTGCCTTCACAACTCAGCCCACCACCACTCCCCCTCATAACAACACCGTTCCTCGTCGCAAAAAGTGCATCATATGCAACAAACCTAGCCACAGTATCTTCGGTTGCCCTGACTAAATTTGTCGTCGCTACGGTTCTTCCATCCACAAAGTCAACAAATGTCCTGTCGACCGCACTACTTTATCCTGCACTAAGTGTACTCCCACCGGCCACAATGCAACCGCTTGCCTGAGTTCTCATTGAAGCCACGGGGTCCACTGTGTTACTTCTTCCTCCACTATCCCTCTTTCATCTTCACCCCCTATCCCTCCGCCTTCATACCACTCTTGTCTTTACAGTACCGTCTACCACACTGGACCCACATCTCCCTTCTTCGCCAACACTCTCATTGACTTCGGTGCTATGATTCACATCCGCAACACCACCGCCGACGTCACAAACCTTGAAACAGGTCGTTTTGTTGTCGAATTCACCGACAAATCCCAACTCACTCTCACTCAACGTGGTCACCTCCCTGGTCTTGGTGCCGTATTTATTATGCCGCAAGCCGATGAAGACATTCTCTCAGTCCGTATTTTCCGGCCCAAAACGACGAGACTCAACCCACTGAGTGCATTGTCACACATCCTAACGGCAATGTTCAACACACCGTTGACACCCACGGCCTCTACAAGCTTGCCACCTTTACACCCACCACTCTTGCCGAATGGCACGACATCTCCGGTCACACACCATACGTTACAACACAACAACATTGACACTTACACACCCCGCAATGACAACACTGACAATTGGCAACTCAATCCGCATTTATTTCATTAACATGTCGTCCAGCCTTTTGACCCAGTCGACGTCGGTCTCTTCGCTCGTGCCAACAATGCCCAAGTACCTCTTTATTGTAGTCTCGACCCTGTCGCACTTCTCCATGACGCTTTTGCCCAAAACTGGAATCAGCCTAAATCCCGTCTCTACGGTAATATTCCTTTCACCAAGAAAGTCTGGACTGCTGTGCTGAACAAGTTCGATGCAGAAAATGACTGCGTCACGGTTGTTTTTCCGTTATCGCCCAGCAACACTTATTATTACCAGACAATACGTCAACTTCATTCCCATGTTGAGGTTATCCGCACTTCTTCTGGTACCTTTTTCCGCAATGGTGGCGAAGTCGTCGGCGCTTCCCGTTGGCGCTACATTTGCGTCGCTCGTCTCGGGAATCTCGCCCATGCTGTACCCCCTACTGCCGAACTCTTGACTACTCAAGCCGACGTGATCACTCATCCTCGGGACGAAGCCTCTACGTATGCAACGCCTGGTCAACAAACGCGGAACTTTTGATCAGTGACATGTACATAGATTACAATGTTCTCGATGACGTGGAGCTTTTCGAGTCGTTGATATCTCTCCAGTTATCTGACGATACAAGTATGAATCGCGCTGCACGTATCAAACTCTTATTCGATCATCAGTTTGCGTCGCATTCACCCGAGTCTCATGTGTTATTAGCAAAGCTGAGAAACTGGGTAGAAGGCTGCTTGATTGATAACGTGATAGTGAATGCTCCTGTATCACTCCAGCGTTTAACAAACGTTTCGCAAGCTTGCCTATTCTGCGTATGTACCGGTAGGCAAAAAAAAGAAGGGTGATACGGAGCATGCAGGGAATGCAATTATAACAGATTGGCTAGCTACCCTGCATGCGAATAGCCTGTTCTTAGTTGAGCTTATGATCGAGCAGTTTAGTGTAAAAAATAAAAGCAAATCAGCGACAAAACAAGCTACTACAGTGTACAAGTAGAAGACAACAAGAACATTAACTGACACGACATTGCATCTGATGGAATGAACCCTCAATTGCAGAACAAAGAATCGATGCACTTGAATAAAAGTATCGTCTCAACACCTGAGTACCGATCATGGCTTCTTTAATGGTGTTTTATTGCCCTTAAAGTAGCCTCAGTAGCCATAAGTAGCTATCTATTACCATTTCTAACGAACCATGGGTCAGAACTCTGTCGTACTAAAACCCTAAACCCTAAAAAAATATGTAGAAATACGGCCTCCGGTCAGTCTAAAATATCAAGATCAATTGAGATAATACATTGGTTTTTATTTGTATTTTAAATAATTTAATACAAGCTCTTTTTCCAATATTCCCAAAGTGTTCTAAATTCACTTTGATGGCTCCAATAGCCTGAGTATTTGGTATGACTCATCTACTTGGACCTATTTGAGACATTAGTAGATGTAGGATATTATAAACTAAATTTTATAATCTCCGAACTACTACTTATAGATTTTGGTCCTTCCGCCAATCTCCAAAATCCAATAAGTCTTTTTCTTTTTTAAACTTTTCTTCAAATGGAACTTTATTTATATCAGCTAATGTATTAACGGGACTTACGTTATTATGTCTACCTACAAATTAGGCATGTGGTCATGAACACTTAGTACTTCTAGTGAAAATTATTCAATTAAGAACAGCTAGAGGTACGCCCTGTATGATCGAGGAT